ATCGCACCGAACGCACCCCCTAGTGTTTTATCATTTTAGATCGCTTAATTTGAAAAGTATTAAATCTCTCTTTAATAAAGGGTTTTAATAATTTTGTAAGGGGAGTTTGATATTTTTAGGAGTTTTTTTTTTTTTTTTCCAATTTCTTTTTATAATCATATAGAGTATATAATACTTTTGAGTCAATGTTTTAATAACCAACCCGGGGTGAAACCCCGTAAAGTTGCCGAGTCTCAAGTTGATCACATTGTTTTAAAAACCGGATCGGACCGACCAGTCCAACCGGTTGGACCGGGACCCGATCACATGTCTGGTCCGAGCCAATATAAAACCCAGGATTAACCAATGGACCGTTATAACCTGTTAAAAAACCGTATAAACCGTGTAAACCGCCGGTCGGACTGGACCAATTGAAAAACCGGTCCAACGTCTGAAAAGGGGAAAAAATCCCTAATTCTCAGTTTCTCTAATTTCTCCTTTCTCTACGCAAAATCCTCTGAATTAACACAAACATGAAAATCTAAAATCCCACACAAATCGACACTCAATCTCAACGAAATCCACTCTCTGAGTCTGAAATCGACGCAACTCAAGCCTCTGAAATCGCGACGACGCCTTCCTCCCTCACCGGAAATCGGTCAACACAATACACAAACAATTTTAAGATTTCTCTTACCTAGGGCAGTTGAATCGGTGATCGATTGGACTGAAGTGGAGTCGTGCTTAGTTACTGCATAATATTGAATCGAAAATGAATAAGGAATTGGGGTGTAGAGACAGAGGATTTAAACGGAATTTGAAATGTCATGGTGGTGATTAAGCCAGAAAATGGAGTTATGGAGATGTCGAGACAGATGAGACGGTGTCACGGTAGTGGTTCAACCTTTGGGAGTTGGAGATAGAGATGATTCAAAGCAAACGGGATTTGGGGCTACTATTTGGGTTTTATTGCCTTTTGAATTTGCATTGAAGTGGTTTACTTCCTAGTTTCCGTATGGGTTTTATTTATTCATTTGGGTTGAATGATGTTTGTTGTTTCCAGGGTTTAGCAATTGGTGATGTTAATTGAGTTTGTGATTTGTGGGGTTTATAATAAGTTTTGATCCTATTGATTATGAAAGTATAGAAGATTGGATAGTTGACGATTAAGAGGAGGTCAGTGAACTTAATTATGAGGAGTTGGAACAAATGTTATATGAGAATAATCTATTCCTGTTAGAGTTACTGATCACTCTTCTTTTTATAATTCAATCGATGATTCAAAACGTTGATTTTAAATATTTAAGCAACTTAATATCTGTTCAAATTAAATTACAAGTTTTAACTTATGATTTTTATTTTTTACTGAAATTTACGTAGATAATAGTGATGGTTATGATGATGATGGTAATGAATTTTGATGCTAGTGTGTAAAACTCAATCAACATGGGGACGGATCAAAGAAAAAATACTTGAACCAAATGTTTTGTTATTAATTATTACGTATTTTTTCATTTAATATGTAATGGATGAATACAACATCATATTTGGATTTGGACTTTGGATTGTTGTTAAATACTTAAATTGTGTTAGGATTGTTATTGAATTTGAACTTTGAATCATGTTAGACAGTAATTAAGTTGTTATTGTCTTATTAAAAAATGGAAATCTTAAAAAGAAAAAAAAGATTTTTTTTAATGTGCTGACATCATCATGCTGTGTGATGACATCACCGATCCAACTGACGGTCCAACTGATTGAACCGTGACCCGGGCAGTAGAGCGGGTTGCCCTTCGGTCCGGGTTTTAAAATAATGGTTTATCGGTTTGATCGGGTGACAAAAAGTTTAAAAGTTAGCAAATATACCCCTAAAAATTTATGAAGTTCCTACAAGTTTAAAATTTAGCAAACACACCCCAAATACAAATTTATGGTTGATTGGTTGGCGGTAGCGACACACCAAATGCAATCCAAATCATCCCTTAAGCCCATTCCCCAGAAAATCTACCTAAGATCTGATTTCGGCTAGATCTCACTGATACCAACGTCGACATTCCATGCTAGATCCCACCAACGCTGGCGTTGACAACCCTCCCCATCACCCAAAAATATGCCCTCTACCTTTTAACCAAAACCCACCACACCCCACCCCTGTTAGCCTTGCCAATCGTCAGCAAAAGTCGATTGTTGCCGCTGCCTATTTTTTTCGATTTCCAGTCGATTCACTCATCGGAAATCAACTTCGTCGCCACCATTGCGCTCACCGACATTTTTCTTCAAAAGCTCCGACATCCCAACCTTCAATTGTTTGCCGATCATCATCCCATTTTCTAAGGTTTTTAGTCAATAATGAAACAGGTAATTTGGCCCAATGAAAGCCCCAGGTCCCGGTTCAATCGACTGGGTTTTAAAACAATGATATAGAGTATATAATACATTGAGTAATAGTACATATATAAATCATTCTCTACAAACTGATGTGGTAACTCTATATATTTGAAATACCAACTACTTTAATTTGTAAAATTATCTCTAAATTTAAATCACCAAATCACATTAAAACCAATGTTTTAAAACCTAGTCTAGCCCGATCGGTTTGATTGGTTAGATTGGGAACCGAGCCTTCACCGTTTCAGACATTCAGTAAACCCAGCTATGTCAATTAACCCGAAGTGACCCGTGATTGGACCGGCAAAACAGTAGCAAACTGTCGATCGAATTGGCCAGAGGCCTAAACCGGGTCATTAAAAGTGAAAACCCGAAAAAATATTTCAATCAACTCTTTCTTCGCTCTTCATTCTTCCATTTGAAGTCTTCATTCCATCTACAATCTTCATAATATCAATGATATTATTATGACAATTAATAACTATATTTACGTCTCTCTTAATAACAATGATAAACTAAAGTTATTAATTCGAGAGAAAATGCATATTCTAGTTTTAAAAAACAAGTTCATACATGGATACACTTCCTCTGAATCTTTTAACTGTTTGAATAATTTTTCTTAAAACATACCTCGAGTATGTAGTTAAATATCTCAGAAAATAAACAATAAAGATTTCGAGAGAATGAACTTTTACAACCAAAACTATTATTAATTTTTTTCTCTCCTTAGAATATACATAAATCTCTCTTTTATAGAGAGTTTTGGATTTCAAGATGACTTGAATTCGGGTACAAAGTTAAAACAAAAGTAAAAGATAAGCGGTTTAATAATAATTCGCCCAATAATGCTAGGTCAACAACCTTCTCTCACAACCTCTAACGTGATAATTCGTCATTGGTTAGCTCGCAAATAGACAGACGGGACCCATTTTGCAAATTGACCAATGACGAGTTGCCACATCGAAGATTGGGTTGTGGACCTAGCATCAATATTTTAAAACCCAACCTAAGGTGAAACCCAACAAAGTTATCGAGTCCTGGTTTGATCGACAAAACTTTTAAAATTCAACAAATACACCTCTAAAAATTAAATTAAGTCCCTCTAAAAATTAAATTAAGTCCCTCTAAGTTTAAAATTTAGCGAACACACCCCAAATACAAATCGGCCGACGATTAGTTGACAGCAACGACACCCCAAATGCAGCCTCAATCGTCCTTTGAGCCCATTCCCTTGAAAATCTACCTAAGATCTGGTCGAAATAGGTTTGATTTCGACCAGATCTCACCGACGCCGACTTCGGCATTCTAGGTCAGATCTCACCGATGTTGGCATTGACAACCCTCCTCATCACCCAAAAATAATCCCCTTTTCCTCCTGACCAAAACCTACCTAACCCTACCCCCGTTAGCCTTGCAAATCGTCGACAATAACTAGTTGTTGTCGCTACCTATTTTTTTGGATTTTCGGTTGATTCACTCACCGAAATCAACTCCGTCACCATCATTGCACTCACTGGCACTTTATCTGCAAAAGCCTTAACATTCCAGCCTTCAATTGTTCGCCAATCATTATCCCAAATTCCAGGGTTTTGGGTGAATAGGAAAAATCTATTCTAAACCCAACCCAGTGAAGCTTACGGGTCCCAGTTAAACCCTAGGTTTTAAAACAGTGTCTAACATTACTCTAATTCACCATTAAGGTCAAATAAATTAACACTAGAATCCACATGTCTCCCACATGTTTTATATGATAATTAAAGTGATAGAATCGTTGAAAAATATCGACAAAATCTTGAATGACCATATCTTGAGTGTCAGCAAAATCTAGACAACCATGTCTTGAAGGTCAACAAAATCTTAAACGACCACGTATCACTTTCGTTTATTTGGTATACGTCAATGTGAACGTATTGATCTTTCTAGTTGACCAAATCTCCATCCTTTTGGGCTTCGTTAAACTGATACGTGGTCATTTAAGATTTTGCCAACACTCTTCGACGATTCTATAACTTTTAGTTATTATGTAAAACATGTGGAAGACATATAGACTCTAATGTTAATTTATATGACCTTAATGGCGAAATATTATTAGACCGCTTTATCCTTTTACTTTTGTTTTAACATTGTACCTAGATTCAAGTTATCTTGAAATCCAAAACTCTCTATAAAAGAGAGGTTTATGTTACATTTTAAGGAGAGAAAAAATTAATAATATTTCTAGTTTTAAAAGTTCATTCTCTTGATATTTTTACTGTTTATTTCTAAGATATTTAACTGCATACTCGAGGCAAGTTCTAAGAAGAATTATTCAAACAATTAAAAGGTTCAGAAGAAATTTGTCTAGGTATGAACTTGTTCCTTAAAACTAGAATATGTATTTTCTCTCGAATTAATAACTATAGTTTATCACTTACCAAAAAAAAAAAAAAAACTATAGTTTATCATTATTATTATGAGGGGCGTAAATATAGTTATTAATTATTATAATAATATCATTGTTATTATGAGGGGTGTAGTGAAAATGGTATCAAAGCCTTGAAGAATGATGGTGTATAAGCAGGAAAAAACCAATAGCAGGCACAAATCATGTTTTCAGCAGAAAAAAATTGCCTGCACAGATATTCCTAAAATCCAACCACTCTCAAGAGTTAGGATTGAGGCCTTCTAGAAATAATTAGCAAGAGATAGAAAATGACAAAGAAAAGAAAACAGATAAATGAACATGACAACATTGTCAACAATCTCAAAGATAGAGAAGCACCATTAAACAATGAGTTCAACAGCGAGGACCTCAACTCAAAACTGTTTAGTGGGAAAACAGAAAGGAAACCAACCTTATTGGACAAGTTTGAGAGCCATCTCTCTAAGGGATTGCAGATTTGGGAACATTGTGTCTGCATGTGATCCATAATAGCGCAAAAATATTGCATCCAATTGATTTATGTTGTCCACCACATTACAATCACCCAAGGATAGTTGAATGGATGAAAGCTTCACCAGTTCATATCCAATAGCAATGTGATTATGCTCATAGAGCTTTTCTAATATCTGCCAACATAAACAAATACATGAAAGTCTAGTACAATCTCATCACTAGGAAAAGCATGGAAACCACACCTTCATATAGTACTTTAAAGCTTATAAATTCTTTATTAGTCTCTCGCAGGTTAAGATTGATAGAATCTAGAATTTTATATAGACAACTAGTTCACTTAAACCTTCTAGGAATGAGATTCCTAAACTGGAAACAATAAGATTTCAAACTTATAATAACGTACTTAAAACTACTACAACATTCATGACCTGTAACTACAAAATTCAGGAAATTCCAAAACTACAAAACTGTCCTTGGTCTAAAAATAAAAGGAAATCTAATAAAATCAGGCAAGTATCATGCAACACATAAAATTAAAATGAAGTAAGACTCAAACCAATTATGTGGCTAGGGCTCCACTATACCATGTCCACATTAAAGTGAAATCGTGATAAGCTTTCTCAACTGTTTTGTTCTCAATTAAATCATTTCTACAGGGTGACCTTTCTGTTCAACATGACACAGGTTCAGCACATTGTCGTTGACTGACGGTTAATAGATTGCATCTATCATCCAGACAGAGTTAGTGAATCAAGAGGCATTGACTTATATTCCAACATAAGGGGTCGCAAAATGAGTTTCTAATGGCAATTTGTTCGAAATGGGCACATTTGATTACTTACACAAGCTTTAAGAAAATGTTGACACACTCCCAATACTTCCATAAATAGTTAAACAATATTTAATTAGAAGAATAAATCATTATGAGACACGGATAACAAACAGCCTCTCTCCTTAAAAGTTCTGCTTATGCTTTGATCTATTCGTACATCATGGACATGTGCCATTGTCATTTTGAACGTAACAAGAGACGGGGGCAGTAATATATATAAATTATTTACTTATTTTATAAATAAAATGTTAGTGAATATTTAATAACTTAATAAAAAATATTAATTTTTAATTTTAGCAATATATAGTCCCGTTGAGTCTAATGGGACAACACTATAAATACTCTAATCCCAAAAAATTAGTCTGGTTAGTTCAGTCTTGCCTCCCAAAAATGTCCATAGAGAATCTCTCTATGATCTCTAAGTTGTTGAACATCAATTCTCCTCGATTGAAAAAAAAAACTAAATTCTTGGCAAGTAGATTGGAGCAGAAGCCCAATACGGCGGATGTTGCCAATAGATGAGACACACCAAAGTTGATCTTGAACCATCGATAGAAAGAGATTAATTGATGTGCTAGAAGGTGTGTAAAATCTTGAAACTGCATTATATATCCCTAGTTAAGTTGAAGAAGGTGCATTTAGAAGAAAGTGAAGGGGATTGAATTTGGAGTCTTTTGTGAGAGATTAGGCTTTGATACCAAATGATAGGTATTAAGAAAGGATAGAGTGAAGGGAGAAGTAGCAAGAAAGTAAAGAAACTATGCAAGAAGAGAAATAGAAGAAAATTAGAAGAATCAAGGCAGAAATATAGAAATTGGGGGAGAAAACATCTTTATTATCAATCTACATTTTCAAGGCATACCACAGTAACAAAAGATTGAAAAAATAAATAGTAAATAAAATTTATCTGAGAAAATAAATCTCCATCTAATAGGTAAGAAGACCAATCCAAATGAGGAAGTCTTCTCGTATTTAAACTAGGAAAGAACTAAAAACAAACATGGAAATACATTAAAAACAAAGCTTAGAATCACGATAAATCTCTTAGATCTCTAGGTTGTTCCACATTAATAGTCCAGCAATGGGTCACAAGTCAATACTACTTAAATTTACCTTTTTCAGACTTCATTAGAATAGGTTCTGACTCTATTTATTCTTCCAAGGATCCTCCAAATTATAATCTCCATTAACCCTTCTATATTTCTCTATCCTATTCTCCACTTTTCCATGTATTTCCACAATTTTTTTCTGAATAATTCGAAGCCAGATGAAGAATAACTGATCTTCAAATGACATAAGAAATTTCAAATAATACTCTCTCTCTCAGAACTTTTTACTACATTGTAGCACAAAAACTTTGCACTGCATAAAAACAAATATATTAATGGGAAAGACTGAAGGGCCACATATTTAGTCCTTCAAAAGAAATATAATACCAAATACCACAAAACATTGTAAATCCACCAGATTTGTTGGCTAATATGACTCTGCTGAAAACAGTTTTACCTCAATTGATGCTTTACAATGGTCTCTTGCAGATTGTAGGTCTCCAACCAAAGAAAATGCCTGTGCAAGATTGTCCTCTGTCTGCAAATACAACATTATACGTGATTATGCATGTCGTTATTACAACCTGTTCTCATAATCATTAAACTCATACTGTAATATGTGTATGAATGCAAACTGTCATTCTCTTCAGAAAATATCATTTAGAAAATAAAACTAGGGATTACTTCATCAGCCTACTACTTTATATGTTTGCCTCAAGGGAATTTGAATCCTTGACCTCTTAGTTGAAAGTAAGGGCATTTACCACTAAAGCCCAACCCACGGAGTTATGAACTTATGATTTATATGACAAAATTAAAGACAATGAAGTTTCTGACTGAAACATATTTCAGAAAATTCAATATAATACACACAGATGCCATAAACTGTTCTCAAATCAAAAGACGAATAAGTTCTAAATTGGACAGTAGAACTCACTTTGGCAATGGCCTTGTTGTATGCATGCAATATTGTTCTTAGCAGATGTAGTGATCTCAAAGCATCTAAAACTATAGTGCTTGAGATTTCTCTTGAAACTATTGAATCCTCCAACCTGTCAAGAAGTGAGAATTATGGTATACAGACAAGGAGAAACAATGAACTTATCAAATGCAAATATGGTCATCTTTAATCAGTTAGATTTAAAAATTAGTAGCGTAGATTAAAAGTTTTCACCAGAGATAAAAATCAACCAGTTCACAGCCAAGACTGACATTTTATCTATTGGAAGAGAGAGAGAGAGAGAGAGAAAAGAAAATAATAAAAAAGAGAGTCCAACATGACAGTTACCTTTATAGAATAAGCAATATGTAATTGAGGCATGCAATCAATGAGATGAGTAGAATATACCTTTTAATATAAATCCAAGCTTCATCAACTGCTGCACATGAAGATTCCAGATCACGATAAGAACCACATTTCAAACAGTATCCAGGATCAGCATCAATGGTTCTATTTTTTTTCTGAAGTGCAAGGTAAGCCACTGAATCAATGTAATCACTACTAAGCTTGCCAACCTGAAAAATCACAAAATTTGGTAAATGGAAAAGCAATTACACGATTTAATCTGATGCAACTTACTGGAAGTCGCAACTAAAAACAATGATCTACAACAGAGGTATATTAACAATATGTTTATATAACAGAATCGGATTTTTTTCATAATTTATATCTGGATACAACTGCAAATTTATAGATTCAGACAATATAGCCCTGTTTTGCCAGCAACAGTGAATTCACCATTCTAAAATTCAGTAGTTGTTGATGGTCGAGACCATTCGCTTACAAGAAAGGGAAACAAAAATCTTAGTTCTTTACAATGACAGAATTTTGCCTATTATAAATGTAGGAATGCAATTGAAAGGGCAAGCTTACAGATTGCACCTGATGGTTACCTGACAATTTACATTACAGAGCAACTGAAATACCTGCAAATGAAATTCTGAGCTGCTACCTTTTCGAAATGTGGGGAAACGCTTAAGTTTCTGTTTTTCACAATTGACCACAGAGCAATCTAAAACTACGCCAGAACAATTTGGATTAATACAATGGAAAGCATTTATAACCAGATCCGATATATTAATTTCAGAACAACCACTGCACCGACATCGAAAAGAATACTCGTCTTCCAAAAACTGTAGACGGTCTTTACAGTCCCACTGCCCAACCTGTAAAACATAGTGAATTATGTACTTTTCTTTTCTGCACTATTTGAAGTTTGAAATATCAAACAAAAACATGCTCACCAACATCACTATAGCAGTTGGGAGGCAGATATAATCCAAAGCATACAGCATATTCATTATTAAGTAACCGGGATTGAAGAAGATCCTAAAGGTTGATAGAGTATAACCTGGGGACCATAGGACATCTCAAGGGGGCAACCTGAGGTCACAAACTCTGTTGTCCGCATTATGAGAGTGCGCGAAAGAAAGTATGCATGAATATTTGGCTGGCAAGAATGGTTGAACAAACTGCCAGCTGCATAAATAGCTTGGCCTACTCTGATCTGTGCAAGTAACAACAATCATTACCATAATTTTAGAGGATGATTGGTTGCTTTTACTGAATCTAAATTTGAGATATTGTAATCACTTATGATGATATGATTAAACAAAAGCTCAAACAATCATATTAGGAAGTTGCTCTGAAGATTCAGAATTAATCTGCACAGGCTAAGGGTCTGATGCAGTACAGAAATATTAGGAATAATTTATTTAAGGTGGTACAGGAATGTGGTTTTGGCTTGGAAAATCACCATTGTGTTTTCTTTTCAGCCCACCAACCAAATTGCAGGGCGGTTGATGATGTGAAGCATTCAGTCTAGGAAATCAAGCTTATGCGATCACAAATTTTATTTTCTTGGTTTTCTATTAATCTTGATTAGTTTTGGCTCCTCGGCGAAGTTATATTGATGTCACCACAGACACGAAAAAGATCAAGATTATACTGTAGAACATAAGGGTCTGCTGTGTTACATAAATACTAAGAAAAATCAATTTAAGGTAGAAATAGGAATGTGGTTTTAGCTCGGAAAAATATCCGTAGTGGTTTCTTTGCAGCCGAACAAGAAAATAGCAGAGCCTTTAATGAAGTAGAGTATTCAGTGTATGACATCAAATCAAGGTAGTCACTAAGTTTATTTTCTTGGTTTCTATTAGTCTTTGATTATGTAAGCTGCTTGGAGCTTGTTGATACTCTACAGACACCAATTTTTTTGTTTTTACTTTATTGTAAAATTTAGTTCAGTGTTCTGAAGAGGGCAAGGGGGTTTCCATACAGCAAGTACAAACCTGTTCCACAGAGCTAGTTAAAGCACTTCCACCAGGTACAGTATCTCCAAACTGATTTGGTGGTCTGTCATCATTGGATTTCATGCGCACAATTGCCATAGAATTCACCCTAATTTGAGATATTAGTATGACAATCTGCACCAACATGAGAAAATGGCTAACAAGTTATAAAGTATCAACATAGGTGAAATGTAACTAGTCCAAACATAGCAGAATGGGTATATAACAAATACATGGTGCAAATGACAGAAAATTGCACATGATTGAGCAGAAATACAACATTTATTATTGCTTGACCATTTTTTATTTAAGTGAGGACAGGAATAATACAAAACAAGAAAAGTAAACATCTAAAAACATTATAAAGTGTATTAAGAGCCAGGACGCTGCTTTGGGCATTCCCCATGTTCCTAGCAACTAAAACCTTAGAATATAAGAAGAGTAGATCATGTATGACAGGGGAATAATAGCTTCTTTCTTAAATATGTCGACATCATAAATGAAGGCAAACACAATAAGAACATATATTTCAACAAAAAGATCAAGACTAGCAGATTATGGTTAATCATTTTTATATCTTGAAAAATACACCAGAAGTATAAAGAGAGAGAGAGAGAGAGAGAGAGAGAAGTTTGAGGTCGGAGGCATGCATATTGTGGCCATCACAATTTAAACAAGATCTTTTATTTTTCTTTTTTTATTTTTTCCCTCACTTAGAGAGACAACATGTTGTATCCAACTATCCTAAATAAGATTAGATGATATTCAGAAAGAGAAGGGAAAGAGAAGCAACCTGTGATATAGAGGCTCCATTTATTGGAAGTTCAAAGCCATAAGAATGCTGGATACAATACAACAAAACAATTGAATATATATGTGATTCCAATTTGCTTTCTGGAGACGCATGTGAATAATTGTGTGAAAGCTCCTACAGGAAAATATAGAGGCCATAAGCAAATACTTACATACAACAGTTGTCACCAAATTAAAGCAAAAATCTATATAATATACAAATTACAGTCAAGAGATGTACCAAAATTTCCATGAGGTTAAAATCCTCACTAGAAGCTCTTCTTTGCTCTATAGATTTGACCACCACTCGTCCAGCCAAAGCTATATCAGCTGGCAATATTATAGGCCAGTGTGCACCTTGACATTCATGTTTATGTTCAAAAATGTGCCCATCACCAGGATACAAATCAATGACTCGAGTAATTTGTGCAATATATTCTTCAAATTTGTTGAGAAGGCTTTCATTACTATTATGTTTCATTGGATAAGTCTTCAAAAGTTGTCCTCCTGCCCATGCTCGGCAATTGTGGGAGCAATAAAGCGGTATTGAACATGATGTACAGGGTATTGCATCTGCTGGTAGTTTATTTAAGCAGTAATGACAATGAGTTTCCCGACAGTGCTTTGATATAATCTACAGATTGCGGTGCCAATTAATGATTATATTTCTCATCAGCAGAAATTGATATGCTAGCTGCATTCTAAGTTCAAAATAACAAGCCTACTATTCATAATAATATTAGGTAAAAAGCAAGAATTATTTCAATAAAGTGCAAAATACGAGTGAGTAGTAAAAGCATGGAATAAGGGAAATCCTAATAAGAAAAGCTAGGTTGATAATTTTCTCGAAAAAGATCCACCCTGCGATGAAGCATTCATTGGTATCATTAGTGGACTGCGGTTTAGCTGGACTGCTGGGCGACACCAAAATATTCAAGGTGGCATATGCCTTGATGTAAACCACTTCTGGCTACCAAACCAAGACCCTCAAAACTCTTCTATAAGAGGCCAAAGCATGGAATACTAAATTTGGATTAACCTATTTTTTTTTTTTTTTTAAAAAAAAATTGATTAAAATATCTATTTGTAGGTAATCCTCCCTGCTGCAGAACAGGGTGTTTTGCAAAAAATCAATAGACCTTTAATCTAACAAGTGTCACACATCTAGTACAACCTGCATTATGCCACCTCTTGATGACAAATGGCTAAACCCTGACCTTAGATAACCAGATAGTTGTACTATTGAATATGACTGAAAATTATGAATCATAATATACAATTCTCCACCGTGTCACTAGGAAAAAGAAAAGAAGCATATGGCTGAAGAAGTTCAAGATGTACTTTAACTTTTTTACTTTAAGCAACATTATGGGGGAGTGTTAGCACACCTTTTAGGTTATACAGTCTAGGTTGTCCTTTTGATGATTTCACTCATCTCCCATTTCAACACTTCTCCACGAAGACTTTAGCTTTTGCATGATTGTTATCTTGTAAATTTGTGTTATCATGTTATCAAGCAAGTGGATTCCCAATGACTTTCATTGATGAGAAGAATAATAAAGAATCCATAAAGCTGGAAATAACACATGATAAAGTCTATACCACAGCATAAGGTTCTTCTCTATGCACCAAGGAAGCCTCCGGAATGTCACATTGAGAAGCCATACCCCTTCCTTTATCAGGAGTGCTAACGCACTCCAGTTTTACTTGGAGTAGATCCTCTGTAACAAATTTATGTACCACTTTAGTAGTCATGAAACTAAAGTAAAATAACTTCTCACTGAAACTTTAATTTTCAGGAAGTTCTTAATATCAACAAGATAAAACTGAATAAATTACAGGGTCAGACAACATGCAAATGTCACATTGTACATACAGGACAACACTTAAGCGGTTTAGCCTCTGTGCACAGATTTGAGCAAACCTACACTGTTATTAATGATGAATTACACTAGTAACTGATCAAGAAAATGACAAAATTTTAAGTGATCACTCCCATGACAACGAAAATTATGAAGCTAGACATGATAAAGACAGAAAACAAGAAAATAAAGTTAGGCAGTTGAATAAAAAATACATCAAACATGTTGAATTTGAATTCTTAAATGCTGGCCAAATACATAGCCATTCCTCGGGGAAACACATAATTTGAGAAAAGCCTTCATTATTATTATTTGTTTTTGAAGAAAAAGGATGAAGTTTATTCAAAGAGCCCAAACTAGAAATTAGCAAAATTCAAAAAAACAAAAGGATGGAGATTGTGCAATCACAATCTCCTCAATTATCTGCAATACCCATGTGATGAGAATTACAAACTTGAGAAATGCCTGCTATAACAATATTATTTTCGCCTCTATATTAGTTATTGGAAGTGAGTTTTTGTTTCCATCTAACAATAGCAAAACTCCAAGTTAGACCAGCCACACAAACTGTAAGCCGAAATACCATATCATCTATTGCCAATGCAATAGATGAGGCCCTTGTGTTGCCATAAATTGCCAAAGATGAAATAACCTATTCTCACAGGACTAGGGATGGACATAAAACTGAATGAACAGAGTAAAACTATTAAAGGAAAAAATTCACCACATCTTAACCCTATTTTGCTCTCTTTCTTCTCCCACATTCACAGAAGCTGCTATCTTCTGTCTTTAAAAATATCAAAACTCTAAATTTCTTTTTCTCTTATCTCCTAACAGTTTCTCAAATTTCAAGACAAATTAAACCAATTTTCTCAACTTCAAGCCTCATATTTATATATCTGTACATCATCTTCAAAATATTGATAAATGAACCTACAAACACTTATCAAAATTGTTCCACTCCTAAGCAATCTCATTCTTCCTGTCCTATTCCTGCTTTAATTTCTTCTTTTTTTTTTTTTCCCTCTTCTTCAACAAGTCAATATGCAACACAATATACACATGCAGATGGCCCACTTTGAGCCCCACCTATCTCTAAGTTCCTAATTTTTAGCATAAAATAATTCCAGAAGCATGGAATCGTTTTGTCAACAGGTTTCATAAGTTTCTAGCATTTTCTTTCTTCATAACTTAGTATTCGACAACAAGAGATTATTTCAATTGTGGCCTAAGTTATTGGAAAATATAGAAGAATTTTGGAGCTTATGCCAACCCGTTTCAAAAAACTCCCCATTTTATCAAATTTTCTCTATCTAAAAGAAAGAAACTTTCTTCCTCTCTAAGCTCACTTATGCGGTGCTTCCCCACGACAGAGGGTTTTATTTAATTTCCTCTATTATGGATATCAGAGAAATCAACTTTATGATGGCCCACAAAGCTGAGATTATGTTGTCATGCATCTGATGCGGTGATTCATAAAGTAATAAGTGTTAAAGTACAATACTTAACTTCATAAGCTTCATTTGGTCATATATATTTCAAGAGTCAAACTCTAACACATATAAAATGAGGAGAAAATAGTAAACATTATAAAGGTCAAATAGAAATGGCTGCAAGATAGATTAATGGTTATCATATAACAAAAAATGAAAAGGGTGCAATAGAGTTAACCATCTTACCTGGTACACTGAGGTTGTTTGCATTGTGTTGAACAAACTTACTGTCTGCACTCCTGGATTGATCTAAAATTATCTTCAGTTCACTTTCTATCTGCTTCTTTCCACCCACTGATGATTCCATGTCCTTTGCAATGGTCAAGTCCTGAGCTGCATCTTCGTAATTTCCCAGTGAAGCATTCACCTTCCCTCTCCTATACCATGCCTGTGATAGGTAAAAGTCACTTTCGCTCAGAAATTTCCATAAGAAAAAATAACAACATTATATGATCCAAGTTCCAAAAAGCTATCATTTGTTACTTTCCTCCATTATATATAGCGATCACACATGATAACAGCCTTAAGTTTAAGTTTTTCACAGTGAGACAAAGGAAACCTCTTTCAGGTAGCTAAAGGGAGAAAAAAAAAATTCTCAAAATGAATGAAAGGAACCAAAGGAGATCTCCATTAATAACAAATCCAAGAGTCTGAAAATCTTTAATGAATTTCTTACATAATGCAGCAATCCAAAACCAAGCTCACAATTAATCATGGCCTTAAATACAATCCTATCTGTAGACAATTACCACAAACAAAATATACAAGCTAAAGTCGCTGGAACAACCCAAGTTATGTTTTGCAACTATTATAGACAAATTAACTGCTCCTGCATAATATTACACACTATCAGTTAGGTATTGACAGCGATAAACCAGCAGTGCATAAAGTCTACAACCGTAAGGGGCACGAAAGACATTAGTAAGGTTGTTAAGGGAGTAGGGACCACAAAGCACAGGTGTCATGGATAGGAGTCTGTTTTGAGAATACAAATTGTGTGAGTGAGGGTAATTGTGGAAAGAGGATTAGTATATATTAAGGGAGAGTAGTAATAACAGGCATCGGGATTTTGTTGATAAAATAGTGGAGGTTCCTGGCTCCTCGAAACGCCAGGGTTTATGTCCAGTTCATTCCATCTTTCATTTGCTTCATTTTTATTCAACTATCTGACTAATACAAATATTGTTGGAATTGCACTTGCTGTTTCTGATATTATTTTGGTTGTGGATTGGTTGTGTGTTGGCTTATTTTGTGTGAGAATTACTGCTGGTTGGTTGTGAATTGATTAATCTGCAGGTGTTCGCATCAGACAGGGAAAGAAAAGAAATCAATTAATGAGTTTAGAAAGGACTTTTCTTAATCCACTAGATGCCCAACCAATCATTTAAATTTTCATCCTTTTCTTCATTGTCACAGATAAAAAGAATACAACATATATTAAAGTTAATTTACCAACAAGAACTCATGCAAACCACTGACCTCAGTTTGCTTTAGTTGCCCACGTAAGAAAGGCAACTTGGAACATATTTGGAAAAGATCATGAGCAGTACCAGAGCCTTTTCTATGTATTTGGCCTATTTTCATATTTGGAGTCCCACTCCCTTTATGAATTCATTTACATTTCATAAAGCTATGGACATCTACATCACATGGATAATCAACTTGATAATATAATTCTGTCAATAGCAGGGATATTAAAGTCATCATCATGGAGGTACAACAAATTGCTAGACTACTTTCTCCAAAGTTTAAACACCACTATGAATATCAAGAATTAGACTCAAATTATTAATGGGCCACACTGGATTTCAATCTGCTATTTTTACTGCAAAGAGAAATTTTATATGTTATTACATTTACACTATTGCCTGAATCAATCTTAAGAAACTTGCTTGATGAATAACTTTATCCAAGCCATCCTTCAACAAAGACAACCAAAATGGGGAAGTTGTAGGCTGTGTAAAGCTAGTTCATACTAAACTTCCACCTCCATCACAGATTGTATCCTTTCAACATGCATAACATATTAGTAATTTCTATATAGAACCAGATCTTAAGTTGACAAGCGCAAAGTTACATAGATCATTGAATATATATATAAATATATATATATATATATAGACAACACAAAAGGTGAACGAAAAAACAAAAGGAGAGGCATTTTGTCTTGCAAAGCTTTCATAAACTTGGCTTTGATATCATGTGAGCCAATTTTAACTCAAAAACTTAGGCAATTAGATGAACAAAAATCACATAAGTAGCCATTATGAATAGTGGATTTCATATACACTCTTGTATATCTCTTTTTACTCTCATTAATAAAATTCTTTTAGTTTCCTATCCAATGAAAGTTTTGCAATTCTAAATTTTGTACTTATCAATTTCGGATACTTTAGCTGAACACAATTTGTAAAATCTTGTGTGCTATAGCAAGGAACAGATAACAAAATTATGCAATAAAACAAACAATATATTCACCTTTGCATAGCTTGGAGAAATCTGAAGAGCTCGATTACAATCTCGTAAGCAGTCCACTAAATGATCCATTTTCTGAAGCAAGCATATAACAAAATAATAATTTGATATTGATTTAAAAAAAAAAAAAAAATCATAAAATGTCAGTACATTTGATATAAGTGACAAAATTAGATAATATCAATGTGTTTTTTTGATAGCATATCATTGTTTCATTTCTTACAAAGGCGTAGAACTCAAAAACCAGCTATCACATAAGTTGACATGGTCAAACACTTAATAATACTAACCAAGAAAAAGAAAGATTGCCTTAATGGGCATTAATCAGCTCAAATGCGATGGTAAAAGCTCATTTTTTTTTTTTTTTCCGGTTTGTTTCTACAGTTCAACAAATTCAGCTTGATTGATAGTCTCAAATAAATGACAAGCTAAGCTTGAAAATAATAAACATTGGCTTTTTCATATTATGAACATACTCATGCGTCATGGGATATGATTATTTTGGCATTGATAGGATAGGTGTACCACGTTATCAGTATGCTCTCCAATAAGATCTTATGAAATATGTAATTACTTCAAATCCAATCAAGGCAGTGATTGGTGGAGGAAGGCAAAAATAGATTTATAGACAGTGGAATGTTATTGGACAGAAGTAGAAATGAGTAGTATGTCCAGTCTACCCAAGACTTTCTTCACATTTTTTTATGGCCTTCCAGCTATTATATTAATCCCTTTTTCCAAAGGTAATAATAATAACTGGAGTAGGAAAAGACTTGTATCACCCTTAATCCTACAATAAAATGCTTTGATAGTATATTGATAAAAAAAAAGGATTGTATAGATAGTTCTAGATGGGGTTCGCAAAAAACTCAGAATTATGGCAAAAGAATTCATATTTTTGCATAATATAACTATGGTTGATCTATCGTTGCATGACCATTAAACTAACTTCGTAGAAGAAAATAGAAATCACAACAATAGTACATGTAAATATATAAAATAGCACATCATAATCTTTCTACACACTTCTTTGTTACTTTTCCAAGTCCTGAAATATCTTTTCTTTCTTTGAACTTTATGTTAACTTAAGATTAAGTATGATAATCAAGTACGTGGCTTTATATGCTAAAACAATTAATCCCAACTGGAATCAACCGATTTAAATTGGTTTGATTTGGTTTATTTTACTAACTATATAACCGAACCTGAATCGTGCACACCTCTAGACCTAGAAACCGGAAAGCTTTCTTGAATTCAACTAAATAATCACAGTAGAGGGGGACTCACTTGCAAGAGAGAAGCCCGATTCACATACAAAGTTGCAACCAAATTTCTGTCCTTGTCATTGGAATCAACTGGAGCAATTCGCAGTGCCTGCTCAAGAAAAATAATTTACTTTTTACATAAATAATCAGTAATTATCTAAATAAATAAATAATTTTGATTAAAATGGACCTGAGTATAGCAACTCAAAGCGTTAGCAAAATCTCCCCTCAAGTAACATTGATTTCCCTTTTGCTTCAGTTCAAAAGCCCCCTCCGAATTCTTCCCGCAGAGACGGCTCTCAGGATCCGCCAAGTCTCTCACAATCTACCAGAAATGAATTAATTAAAATATAGAGATTGAAAATGGAAATTAAATGACAGTTACCTGCTGAAACTGGTCCAAATTAAGGAAGAAGTTGAGTAGTGATGCAGATGTTGAAGGAAGATCGTCTTCACTGCTGTTTGCTACCAATCGCTTCATGCTACTTGGAACTAGTGATTTCAGCTTCTCCATGTTTCTTTTCACTTACCAGTTCATTTGCGCCACTTCTTAATATACCTTGTTTCAAAAATGGGCTGAATTATCTTTCCACCCTAGGTTAAGCAAAAGTAAATCTCATACCCTCGGTTTCAAAAACCATCAACATTCCACCCTTCATTAGAGTCCGTTAAGGGTTATTTCCTTTTCATCCTAAGGTTTGGAGTACATTGCATTTGCCTCCAATCTTACGGGATAAGAATAGTTTAGTCCAATCAGTTGAGACTTTTTTATAAAAAGTTTATAAAACTCCCGTTGTCTTATTAACATATTACTAGGAATAAATATAAGTCTTTCTATAATCATAATGGTAAAATTAAACTAATTTTATTTATATAAAAAAGTTATAACTCAATAGAGTTGTAGTTATAAAAATTATTATTTTGACTTAGTTATCTTTAGTGAAAGTGGTATAGAGGTAAAGTATGCACTAATTGAACAAATATTAATGTATTTCTAAATCATAGAAATAAGCAACAAATTGTGTATACTTTAACTAAAGAAGAAATTATTATTCCAATTAGATTAGAAGATGAAGGAGATAATCCTAAGGATAATAGTATGAAAATACGAAAAGTTTTATGCCAAGAAGCTCTAAACATGCTTAAGAATCTAGAAATATTTTGGCTTCAATAAGAAGGTGTCCATGCTGACGAGTTATTACGTACCCGCAAGTTTAAAGATGTGGTAACAACTCTAAAACATAAATCATTCTTGCAAACAACTTTAAATAAATATTTATTTCACCTTAAAACTTGAATGTAACATTTCATATATTTTTTGCAATATACAGATAATTATTACTATGCGGAGACAAGTTCCCTAAGACGGGACCTAGAAAAATTTATAATTTATTATAGTGTGAAAAATTTATTCTTATTTACGACTGGCCTAAGTTGGGACCATAATTTTTTATGACTAGCATAAAGGTTATTCGTGTGTGTCAGTGTGTGTGTGTGTATATATATATATATGAGCAATGCTAGTTTTACAAAGACACATACAAAGGGGGCATACAAAGACAATCCCTACCCTTGATATTCATGATTTCTCTCTCTCTCTCTCCTCTCTCTCTCTTCTCTTTCCCTTTTTTCTTTGTTTTTTCTTTAGATGATGTCACTTGGTAGCCCTCTTTGTATGGGTCTTTGTAAGGATAGTTTATATTTTTCATATATATATATATATATATATATAATATAATATATATATAATATATATATATATATATATAATATTAAGTTTTAAGTTTTTTATGTTGTTCACTCTGGTTTTAGGTCTGATATTTTCCATTGTTTAAAAACTGGACCGGAGAGCAACCCGCTCTACTGGCCGGGTCACGATTCAATCGGTCCAACCGGTTGGACCGATGACATCATCATACTTAACTGAATTGTCATTTTAAGAGTACATGTATTTTCTTTGTGTCATTAATTTACAAGGATTTCAATTTAAGCCCCAAAGCTTAGAGTCGAATCATATGGCTATAAATACAGAATATTGATCAAAAATAAATTAGACTTTTTGACTTAACTGAAGTCATTCAGGTAAAAATATTTGTCAACTCATCAATTTCCAAGAAGTTGATTTCTTTTCATTTATAATAGCAATTGGATATAATATTTCAACAAAACTTAACTGGACAGTGGACATATAAGATATAATCAAAATAGATAAAAGAATTCAACTTTTATTGTAATTTCGTTTGAATAAAACATTAAAACTATCTGTCAACCCATCAATTAGAGTAGGAAAATGATTTCCTTTTGGTTTATAGAGCTGAACTATCTGTCAACCCATCAATTAGAGAATGATAAGCCACTCAGTAACAATTTCTTGAATCATCGGAATCAAGTCAAGTTGTATTCTTGCTATGTCATCATGCAACATACTGTCCTCCTAAACATAAGTCCTTATTCGGTTATTCCACCACAAACATACAATAGAAGTAAACATAAACATTCAGATTCTAGTAAGACGTGTTATAACCTAGAAATACAAATACATAATCTGGAAATACATGCACATACAATAGTACTTAGCAACAAACATACCACAAAATCAGTTGATAGTGTACATAAAATAACTCAGTAAAGTTTGCAACGAAATCATTATGAAGCTGGATCGAGGAATGGCGTGTTTATAACCTGGATCAAGGAACGGACCTATTTCAACGAATGGAGCTGTCGCCGTCGATTTCCAGCGAGGAATGGAGCTTTCGTTGTCGATTTCTGGCGAGGGAGGAAGACGTCATGATTTTCGGCGAGGGAGGAAGACGTCGTCGTCAATTCAGAGAGTTTAATTGCGATTTCAGACTTCGGTGAGTGGAGTTGATTGCGATTGAGTGAGATTTCAGTTCAGAGAAATTTTCGTAGAGAGAACAGAGAAGAAACTAAGAAATTTTCGCAGAGAAGAGAAAAAAGCTAGAAATTTTCAGAGAGAATTAGAGAAAACCGAGACTGAGAAGAAGATGTGAAACAAGGGGGCTGCGATGCAATTGCATATAGGGATTTTAAAATTTCGACCAGTTTTCGGACCGGCGGTTCGCTGATTTTATCCAGTTTTCAAGCGATTTAATGCATTAGCGGTTTGGGGTTGACTCGAACTGGACTCGTGACCGGTTCCCTGGTTGGACCGGCCAATCCGGTCCGACTTTAAAACAATGATTTTTTCTTGTATTATGAGTAATACTACACATACATCATTATACAATATTTTCCTAAACATTATGTGACAAGATATGATTGACTAATTTAAAGTTAAAATTAAATTCACCAATCATATCTTGCACGTAATGTTGTATGGGAAATGTTGTATAAAAATGATGTAGTGTAGTATTATTCTATTTATAATTGTGATGAGTGATACTTATATGATGTTTCAATTGTTTGGAAATAAGCAAGTTTTTAATGCGCTAAATATGTGTTATATTATATTAGATGTCAACTATTACTCTTATGAAAAATTGACTCTTTCTTTTTTTTTTTTTTTTTTTTTTTTTGGAGTTATACCTTATACTTTTTACTTCTTTATATTTTATTCATTTCTACTAACACACAAATAAGACATAGGATATTATAGACTTTTATTAAAAGTTTCATGTGACGTTGTATCTTATAGTATTGGAGGTAACTAAAATATATTTCCAACCTTAAAGGTAAAAGTACAAATAACCTATCTATTAATATTTAATGCATTTTGCCCTTTGATACGGGTTCAAATGGTGCAATGACCAAATACCCCTGAATAATTCACTTCTAAAAGATAATTATTTTTTATTAAAAAAATAATAATAATAAAATCTTATATATTAATGAAAAATTAATTAAACATTAAATGTCAAATCGAGATAATATAAAAGAAATAAGGAATTATTTCAAATATTAATTCAACTAAATTTTACAAAAAAGAGAAAAATTCAAACAGCCTCGATTATCTCCACTCATTTTCAAATGTCTCAGAAAATCAGTCGAATCTTCAACCGAACAACATAAAACTGCTCCACCCGAACACTTTCCCAATTTAATGTAGAATACACAAAATACAAAAAATCTCAATCCATAATCATATAATAAGAAATAATTAAAAACTTAACTTAACAAAAAATACAAATGAAACCCAAAATATTTAGTTACGGCTCTAAAAAATTGGAGGTGGGGTGTGGCCTTGGGTATCTTATAGTATTGGAGACACCCTCAACACATCCCTAGTGATAATCCCTATCTTCCTATGGAGGTTGTAGTCATTCTCTCACTAGAAGAACACTTTCTCTCTCAAAGACACTTTTTTAAGGCTTTTTTTATAATTGTTGTCCTGAGCCGTGCCCAATTGAGGCCTCAGTGTGGGCACAAGGTTTGTGAGGAAAAAAAACCATGTGCAAGAGTCAAACATAGCTAGGGGGAGAGCCTAAGCTAGTGTATATAACCTTGGGTATTCCTTAATTTGCTAGATATGTTTTGGGTTCAAAAGTGTCAAAATTGAGAGAGCAAGAGAGGCAATTTGAAGAAAGCTGGTGAGAGATCTCTTTGAGAGGGTAAGAGAGATAACTGAAAGGTCGAAGTATGTCCAAGAGATATATTTAGATGAATTTAATTGTATTGTATTAAATTATTTTAAATTGTGAATACATCACCTATTTATACAAAAGTTTAGCTATATAATAAGGAAACAAAATAATATAATTACACTCAATCAGGGAATTGATTGATTGAGCGATTTTGGGTGATTGTCAATCACAATAATGTAATTACACTCAATTGGGGAATTAATTAATTGAGTGATTTCAGGTGATTGACGTAATCTTAGTGATTAACCACAATCATGCATTCATCTTTCATCACTCTCCCTCAAGCTTGTGGTCGTAAACTACAAGCTTGTGTAAAAGATATAAATGTTGGTGATTATGTCAGAGTTTGAGCTTTAGTTGGTTTGCCATTGCAAAATCTAAACGAGTATCTATTTGAATTGCGGGAACATAAAAGAGAGGCTAGCTAAGTGGAAGTTGACTAAACCTGGAAGGTCTGATATCATGTCAGAATTGAGAAGGCAAGAGAGGCAATTTGAAGAAAGCCAGAGTATGCCCGAGAGATATATTTGAGAGGACAAAAGAGACAACTGAAAAGTCAAAGTATGCTCGAGAGATATCTTTAGATGAATTCGATTGTATCGTATTAAATTATTTTGAATTGTGAATACATCACCTATTTATACAAAAGTTTAGCTATACAATAAGGAAACAAAATAATTTAATTACAGTCAATCAGGGAATTGATTGATTAAGTGATTTTTGGTGATTATCAATCACAATAATATAATTACACTCAATCAGGAAATTGATTGATTGAGTGATTTTGGGTGATTGTTGTAATCTTAGTGATTAGCAACAATCATAACATTCGTATTTCATCAAATTAAAAGCCCAAAGTTAAAGTTGAGAGGTATGTGTGACAAAAACGAACAGTATTTGACAAGTGCAACCCAGGTTATTAAAAATGT